ACCGTACGTCTACAGCTACGGATGCATTTGTATGCCAACTGCACCCTTCATTGCAAGAGCTTGTCTCAAGGGTAGAAGATGAGGCGATTTGGGAGAAAGAAAGTGATGGGGTACTTTCGGTAAAATCAGTATATCGGCTGCAATTTAATGATTGGATAAGATGGAATGAAAGGCGATTTCATAAAGTTTGGAAATGAACTAAGGTCAAGATTTTCCTTTGGATATTATGTCAAGACAAAATCTTCTCTTCTGAGGTGTAGTGAATCTCTGTTTGTTGTGCAAAAGTGATGAGGAAAATGGAAAGCGGCTTTTCCTACATTGTCGTTTCACTAGTATATTTTGAGTTTTTAGAGAGGGAATAGGGTTTTAGAGAGAGAGAGATTGGGTTTATAAAAAGAGGGATTGGATTTCTAGAAAGATAAAAAATGAGTTTTAGAGAGAAAGAAATAATGAGTTTTTAAACAGATAAAGAGATAATGGGTTTTAGAGAGAGAATGAGTTTTTAAAAATAGAATGAGAGATTTTGTTTCTAGAGAGAGAATAAATTTTCATATAGAAAAAGAGTGATTGGGTTTCTAAAGAGAGAATGGGTTTGTAGAAAAATCTTTTATACACTATCTATCTGCTCCCACAAGCCAAATTTATACTAAAAATATTTTTTATATATCCCAAATTTTGGGGATGTGATCTCGAGAACCTGACAATCAACCTGAAAGGAAAAAAAAAATTAACTCTCACTCAACCCAAGATTGCATTGGTAACATCCAATATCTAATTGGAATTTCATGCCCTCGGAGAGAGGGAAATAAAGAATAACAAATTAAAATAAGTTTGGATCTAATAGTTAACTAATTTGTTAGTCATCTTATAGATGGGTAATTTTCAAGGTAATTTTCAAGATATCGTATTCATTAGATAATTATCAAAGCCTTCCCAACAATATTTGTAATAACAATTAAAGTTAAAAATAACTTACATTCTCCAAACGAAAGAAAACAATTCCATAAGAAATCTTGATACTATTACCAAACATGAGAAAACAAAAACATATGAAATCTAAATCTAAGAAATCCATTTCTTACAAAATTAATTTATTATAAGAAAACTATTTCATACAAACCAAACATGCACTTATTGTATTATTTTTCTGTACAAACAAGATCTAGAACCCCAAAGGGAAATAAGTATTAACCCATAATAACAACTAAGAACTTATTATTTTTCTGTACAAACAAGATCTAGAACCCCAAAGGGAAATAAGTATTAACCCATAATAACAACTAAGAACTTATTGAAGTCTTTATTTTATTTTTGAGTACTTCAATAATAGGAATCGAACTCAAGAGGTTGCGCTACTAAACCTCAACCGCTAACCACTCGAGCCCCAACTCAATTCCTAAGTTTATTGAGGTATTGGGCATAGGTTTTATATTTCTCCATCCCACAATTCCTCCAAAGTCTTGTAAGGCCCATTAGGTGACACCCATTCTTCACCGAGAATTGCCTTCTTTGGTGGGAGTTCACCAATCTTTTGCATTTCCTCTTCATTAAGCTCCCAATCAAACATTTCCAGGTTCTCCTTCAGCCTCTCCTTTTTGAAGCTCTTGGCAATCAAACCAGCCCCTTGTTGAAGGATCCATCTCAAAGAAACCTACAAAACCATTCCAAATGTATTGTGAATGGACCTCTCTCTACAATGCTATAAGCTTCATGTTTCACTACAAAAATTTTGTGGTATCACTGAAGCCAATAGGTGCCTAGTTTAGGCAAACCCATCAATGACATTTTATGAGAGAGGGATACTTGCTGTTAATTTGTGTTGAATCCTTATTAAATAGGGATTAGTTTCTTTTTATTTCTGTTCTTCTAATTTTTAGGTGGTTCTTATTATTTTATTATTACCATTAACTAACTTCCTATTAAATACGAGCTATGGGAGATAAGATCGTATTGGATTAGGAAGGTCATGGAGACGAAATAGAAAGGATAATGTTAGGTATCATAAAAAGCTAGAAAATTAGGGAGGCCTTTGGTTTTGGGGGTTTCTTTATTTGTTTTGGTAGAGAGAGAAACATAAAGGAGCAAGAAGCAAAATGGGGAGTAGAGAGAAAATTGTAAAGAAAGAAATGTTACATTAAATTTTGTATTTCTGATTCTCTACGGTAAGTGCCATGTAAATTTATTTTTTTTGATCAGCTGTCGACCGTTTTCACCTAAAGATGTAGTCACATTTCAACCCGTTGGTTTTTGAGCTTCCATGCACTAAAACTTGTTTGGGGAAGAGAGAAAGATGAGAGCTGAACAATGCTCTTTCCATTGGTGTGGGCCATCTTTGTGTTCTTGCCATGGGCGTAGGCTCTCTCTTTGAGTACCTCAATATATCCATGTTATTTAGAGAGAGAGAGAGAGAAAGAAAGAGAGAGATGCTTACTTGGGCAGTGCTCTTTCCATGGGCATGAGCAATCTCTTTGAGAACCACAGAGTCGAGTACTGCATTGGTGCCCCAAGTGGCTCCTGCCCCTCCCAAAGGCGAATATGCATACACTTGGATCCCCTTTTCCCCACAAAACTCCCTCAACTTCCTTTGCTGCCAAAGAGGATGCATTTCCACCTAACAACCCCAACCTTTCTTAAGTGACAATTAAAATTTAAAAGGAATATAAAGCAGCAAGAGATCAGTGTTGCTATGAAATTTAATGCAAAAGGTGTGCTGCGACACAAAAATTATCCCAATGGTAATTCTCTCTTGTTTTAGAGGCATTTTTATCTCCAATATGAATTTGTGAAATGAAGATTAAAGACCAATTTTGTGGAGAGAAATGTGTCATGTAGCCCAATTAAGATGAACCACGTATATTTGTGTATTGGTATTTGTGTATTGATAGTGTTTAGATCGTAGTTTTTTGTGATTTGCTTGGAGCTAACTTGCTAAAATACCCCTAAGTTTTAGTGTTCCAAAAACTGAATTGAGTATTTTTAAATTGGCACTAGAGTGAAATGAAACGTTTCAAGTAGTCATTCAAATGCTGTTCTACTCTTATGATTTTGGAAAGTGGTTTGAGTGATATTTTATCAAAATAAAAATATTAAAATTTTGTTTTGATAAAATTTTTATATTGTTTCATTAGATTCCATGGCTAGTGCAAGTTGCAATGTTGTTAGCCAGTATAAAGGCAATCATGATAGTTTAAGAAAGATCACTTGCTGACCTCATATTTCTTGATATTCATGCACACCTATCCACGTAATTTACTTTTACTATGACTTTTTTTTTTAAAAAAAAAAATGTTAGTAGAGATATATTTTTTGAAAATATAAACTATTTATATTTGATAGAAAAGAGTCATAATCATTACTAACCATTAAATTTGAAATCCGATCATTGCATATATGTAATTATTTATTCACAAAGTCCATACCAAATTTTTTTGAATATTGTGCCACTCTTTCATTAATCTAATAACACAGTGAGAGTTGTTAACTTCTCGTAATGCCAATTTGACTATGGTAGCATTTGGCAACGATAAGTTTGGTTATCAGATATCAAATCTTAAGATATCGGTCCGGGTTTCTAGTTGGGTCACCTTTCCAAACAACTTTTGGGATCTGAAGTTGAATATATGAGACCAAAGGACTTCAAAATTTCTGATTAATAAAAAATTCCAAAATAAGAACCAGAATTTCTTACTTCAAAAATATGAATGCATCAAGGACCGAAAGATGAATCTAGGCTTCGATTTTCATAACAGATGGGCAACCAGAACTGAAGAAACCGAAGTTTCCCAAATCATGCAAAAAATTCTCCAATTTTTGGATCTTCAGATATGATGCTTGTTTTAGGATATCTTTATCAGTTTCCTAGTTAAAAATGAATGTTGGGATCAAATGAATTGGATTTAGAGCTCCAATTGACAAATTTTTGCTGGAAAAGGTCGCGGATTTTATCACCTCTTATTTTTTTGAATACTGTGTAAAATACTCGGATGAGTATTGTATGCATGTGACCTCAAATTTAGGGGTTGCAATGGACCAAACCTTGGTCTGGGTATGGGTCCAAAATTTGGACCAGAAAGGTCGAGTGTCCAAAATTTAGATCTGTATACTATTCGGTTCCGATTCTGGGTCCACCCAGACCCGACCAGAATAATGCGGGAATTCATAAAGTCAATATTATGGGTATATGCTGATAAAAATAGGGCTAATAAAAAAAAAAAAATTTCATAGTTACAGGGCAGCAATAGACCCAACCAGACTCAGGACCCCATGATTTGGGTATTTTTGGACCCACTAGGTTGGACCCAACCCGTTTCTACCCCTACTGAAATTGTAGAACTTGGGCGAGTGAACCAAATTTACAAGAACTCTTCCCTATTCAAGTCCATTATTACAATACTTACAAGTTCCAGTATACCAGAGTACGTATATGGGAACTCCCCTCAATTACGAGCCGAGGCTGAGTAACTCAACCGGGTCTACATGCTTGCACCCTCTCTCTCTCACATACATTTGAGATATAAACTCTCACACACAAGAGTTTATATCCCATATTTGAGATATAAATCGTAAACCCCTCTCTCTCTCTAGGGAAAAGTGGTTTAATTGGCGGACCTGGTTAACAGCAGGGGGTATGGTGGCATGAGCGAGCAGGTCTCCGAGCTTCTTACATGAGAAGTTGCTGACTCCAATGGACTTAGTGAGCCCCATTCTGCAGCACTTTTCCATGGCCTCCCATGTCCCTCTCATGTCAAAAGGGAGATGGTGTTCCTTTTGCACCGATCCCTCCTCCATCTGCCTAACCCTTGCGGGCCAATGAATGAGGTACAAATCCAAATACTCTAATTGCAATCTCCTGAAATTGGTTCCAAAATCTGTATGTTTTAGATTCAATCTCAAATTAGAAAAGAAAGGAAAGTAGTAACATACATCAAGAACGATAAAACGGTAAAAATAAGAGGATTATATTGAAAAGAGAATTTTCTTTATCCGAACCAATGTTTACGAAATCACCTTGGTCGTAGTCTTTGGGCCTTGGTCTTGGGATTCAAGAGGGGGTCTTAGATGTTGAAACAAGAATCCTAGTTGGATCCACTACAAACATGTACTTATCCAGCTAAAATCCAGCTTAAAACAAAATAGGTGAGAGTACATGTCATAATATGATAAATAAAACCTAAAACATACTCGGGACAAAAATACTAAGATTTATGTGGTTCATCCCAAAAAGCCAAAAATATATTCTCATTTTTATTTATAAAGTTGAAAGCTTTAAAAAAGGTGTAGTTCGACATATATATGAAAACTTGAAAATCTTAAAAATTAATAATCTAAAAGTACATTACAAAATATACTATTATTAAAGTTTGAAGTCTTTTGTTTTTTTGTTTTTAATGTTCATGTATATTGATGTCAAGATGATCAATTTAAGGATATTTGAGCATTAAAACAACCTTTTTTAGTGAAATGTTTGAGATAGGCTTTAATTTGATTGTTTAGAGCCAATAATTTGATTGTTTAGAGCATGGGCTCTGTATAAATGTTTTTCATGTTATAATAATATATTATAATTATAAATATTTTTCATATTATAATAATATATTATAATTAATAATTATAAAGACATCCGGACAAAAACAGGTCTTAGTATTCCCTTAGTTTTATAAAATAATGAAAGTAAATAAAAGAACATTATTTTTGATATCATCATATTCAACAATAGGTTGAGACAAGTAACTTGGCCGAGTAGACTCGGCTGAGTCATGTACACCCAATAAAATTATAAAAAATTTACAGAGAGTAAAAACAAAAACAAAAAGAAAAAAAAAAAAAGAAGGTAAAAGAATAGTTAATAATCAAAAGCCAAAAGAAGTAATAGACTGCATTAAAATTCTGAACAATATAAAAAAAAATATTTAAAAGAAAAGACCTAAGAAAAGAAAAAAAATATATATATAAAAGTTCTCAAAACATCGTAACAATTATCAAAGGATTTTAAAAACATATTAATAACTAACATATAGTTTTCTTGTATTTTTAACACTTCTTTTGTATTCCTTCCTTTTGATTTCTCCATTTTTAGGTGCTTAAGGGTAAAAAGAAAGAAAAAGAAAAAAAATAAAAAAATCTTAAGGCAACCCAGATAAACCCAAAACAAATATTTTAGAAATTCGAATACGGCTATGATTAAGCAGGGCCCGATCGGGTCTTCCTTCTGATGATCGGCCAATATATTATAAAGAAATTAGAAGAAGCAAAAGACTGAGGGCTGATTTACCTGTAGGGAATTGGGTCATATTATTATAAAGAAATACAAAAAATTGTAAAAGACAGAGGGAATCAAGGCGACTCCAAGGTTTCCTCAAACCAAAATTGCCCACATACTATCTGATTCGGGTCAGGATTTTTTAAACACTACTTAAATGAGAAGCTAACAACTTACTGGAGTGTTTGGTGAAGGGCTGGTAAAACCCCATCTGGGTGATTATCAGTGCACCAAAGCTTCGAGGTTACGAAGAGCTCACTTCGAGAATCGATGATGCCTCTCTCTTGGGCTTCGGCAATGGCTTGGCCTAGGGCTTTCTCTGACTTGTATATCATAGCAGTGTCGAAGTGTCTGTAGCCTAGCTCCATGGCCTCTAAAATTGGGAATTTAAGGGACTCGTCCTCAATGAAGGGGTCTTTTGCAGTGCCCAGCCCCACTAAGTGCATCTTGTGACCCGAATTTAGAACCACTTGAGGAATGCCTCCTATTTCCTTCTCCATGCCTACTCTTCAATTCAGTATTTGAGCTCCTCCCTCTCTCTGTGGGCAAAGCAAATGCTTCTGATTCTACAATAATAGAAGTGCTGTGAAGGTTTAGATAAATAGTAGCAGTGGGATTACAGTGGTTTTGTCTTTTAGGGAAGCAATTTTGATTAAATAAAAAGAAATATTCTTTTGGATAACAGTGCTACCTTAAAAGATAAGGGTGCTGGATACGGGTGCTGGATAAGGATGCTGTCGCTTTTTTGAAAGTGAAAACTTGGAGGTGGAGGGAGATGCAAAGGTGAACTCATTCTGGACGGTTTAGGTTCCTATGGTCCCCTGATGCCCAATTTATGAAGTGGGGGACCTCAAATGGTGCGTTTGTTTGTCGGAAACGACAATAAATTGTATGAGAGATAAAGGAACCTAAATGATTGTGAGAGAGGAGAGGGGGGGGTTTCTGTTAGGGATGACAACGGATCTGGACTTGGACCTCGACCCGAAGAGTATTAGGACTTTTTGAGTCCAAAATTTGGACCTATATCCGGGTCTGTGGGGTCTCGGGTCTTGTTGGATATATTGTCACCGTATTTATTTTATTTTATTTGTTTTTTTTTTTACCATCATATACCCTATAACTATGAGCTTCTTTTGTTTTTTTTTCTTTTTTTTGCCAATAATATTGTACTTGTTTTTAATATTGTGACAATATGAATACCTAGTGCGTGCCTAAAAACGCATGATTGCCATCATAGACCCTATGGCTTTAGGTATGGGTCGGGTACGGCTAGACCCGGACCCGAACAGTATTCAAGTTCAAAATTTGAACCATAATTCATTTATTAAAATGTGGATTTATTGGGAAAATATCAAAAAGAAGGTTGAAACCACTTCAATATCACTAAAGGGCTCAAAATATTACAAATTACACTTGAAGATGTGCTTCTAAATTTCTATAACAACATGTATACCCTAAAAAAATGATAGATTTTCAAATTGTCCCTATTTGATATTAAAAAGTCGGAAGAATTCAGGGGACTTTGGTTATTTAACACAAAACATACTAAACCAAGTGATAATTGAGGTAGAATTACTAAAGTACCCTTAATTGTTTTGGTTTCTCAATACTGAATCAAATTTTTTTTTAGGATATACCTGAGTTGTAGAAATTTAAAAGCATACCTTCAATTGTAATTAGTAATCTTTTGACCCTTTTAGTCACATTGTAAGGGGTATAGAAATTTAAAAACATACCTTCAATTGTGATTTGTAATCTTTTGACTCTTTTATACAAACAAAAAGAAAGAAAAAAAAAACCGATTCAACAACTTTACCAGGTCTTGCACTAGTTGGTTGTCTATTGCTGTCTTAGCCGGTTTATTGTATAGCTTAGAATCAAGTTTGAAAAAAGGACCAAACTTGGTGGTTGATTAGTCATAGCGCATCGATCTTGAGTGAATCGGGTGGAGTCATTCTATTGGAAAATTATCAAAATAGTCTTATACAATATTCTTTCATTTAATTATGGAAAGTATGATACTACATTGGCATTCTCGACTGACAGATTTTATTTGTCGTTATTTCATGATTTGGTACGATTTCCCTACAATAGGGTTGTTGAAATGTGATATGTACTTTTCTATATATAAAAAAAAAAAGTATGGAAAGAATTATACACTATGAGACCATCTACTTTTGGTACACAATCATTTGTAAACATCGGATGTAAATTCTAACAACTTGGGGAATGTGGCAAAGTTAAAACATTTTTTTTACACTTTAAGCCATGAAATACTTTGATATTCAATTTTACATCTAACAGCCATAATTGATTGTGACATCGTTGTATTATATAGTTCACCGTTCTAAAAAGACTTTATGATTCATATCATCATATGAAAGGAAAGGCAGTAAGTGTTCTCACCAACCAAAGGATTAATGAATCGATTGAAGGTGATGGTAAGGGTTTCCAACGAGCCGGGCCTTGAATGAGACAAGCTTAGGCCATGGCTCAGTCTGGCCCATAATTAAATTTTGGACCAAGGCTCGGGATTGGCCCAAAGCCTCTATAAAGCCCATCAATATCTATCGCTATTCGGTATATACGCAAATATTCAAACTTTGCCTATATTCGTAGATACCTAAATTTTTTGTTGTGAATGAATCTATGTCCCGCTCTCTATAACAATGCTCTTGGTTTAAAAAAAGGGAAAGGCTTACGTACTTCCTCTATAGCATAGAAGATCTATGCTTCCCCTACCATCTAGCCATCAATTTTATCAAGTAAGCCACTGTTTGATCATAGATCCGATGTGTCTGGGTATTTTATTTTTAATTTTTTTATACAAATTTTATGAATATAAAATTTGGTAAGTTTCATATTCTCATTGGGGCGCAGCTGCCAAAAATATTAAAAATAATGTTTTAATAAAATATAATGATCAAAATACCCCTAAAAACTTTTAGGGGTATTTTGATCATTTTATTTTGTTGTAATTTTTTTTTAATACTTTTTACATGTTCGAGTTTAATAGAGAATTGGACACCCCAAATTTGGTGTAAAAATATTTTATAAAATAAATAGTGTAGTGACGTGGCATTGTGATTGAGGCCATTTTAGCCTTTCATTCAGAATGGAGGGTTGGATAAGGGGAAATATATAAGTTTTATATTGTAGGGAAATCATAAAAAGCTTGCCCAAAAATAAAAAGAAGATTTTTTAGTAGGTTACTTTTCCTCTAACGCGACCTATGATTTTGAGATATGCGATTGTTTTGAGCTACTATGTTTTTTTTCGGAATATATTGCTTGTGTTTCTTTTTAGTCCTATATTTTTTAAAGAAATATTTTGTTGAAATTTTTTTAAATTGGATTTTTTTTTGTTAAATTAAGATTCTTAGTTTAATCCTACTTTTAATGTGCTTATCTCAAAACAAAAAAAAAACCAAAATATCAAATCACTGGAAGGAATGGAAGTTTGAATGAAGTTATAGGGAAGGAGTAGTTTAAAAAAAAAATTCTTAAAAAAATAAAGTATAAATTTATATTTTCTTGCGGTAAAAAACATGATTTCTGAATAACTTTTTAAAAACTTAGAGCTCTTGATGGGGGTTTCAAAAAAGCAGGTATTAAAGTTATTAAAGAGGTTTAGGGAGATAAAATTTGTGGATCTGAAGTTACAAAAGAATTTACTTTCTTTAAAGTATTAAACACACTAACTAAAAAAAATTAAGGTGCAATTGGTCTCGGCACGTACACCCTGTTCTTATTGAATCTCTGAGACTCCTAATTGCACATTCAAATTACTTGTATAAAACCACGCTTAAGAAACTAAAACTAACGGGTAGTAATGCCTAAAAATTTTTTAGTAGCTCTGAAATTCAAAAATGGATTTGCTTCTATCTACAAATAGATGAGGAAAATATCCTATTAAATTCCTTCCAAAATCATCATGTATTAAACAATATTTGGATTAAACACACCGAGACATCCCTTTGATTTTTTTATCAACGAAAATAAAAAATCAACAATTTGGTTGGCATCGATAATGGTCTTTAAGGCATGAGACATGTATCATGCTCTTAAGGCATGAGATAAGTATTATGATGGACATGAGATACGAAGGGTTTCATAGACTTGGGGCTTCATAATGAAACTTCTGATTCAAAGAGAAATACCTCACTAGAGAGAGAGAGAGTTTCGGAAAGTAAAGCCTCATCTCGAATCCTCGTCCAAAAAACATTTTAAAAATAAGAAATCTTCATGATGGCTTTAAAATTAGATTCGAACACGAACTATAAAGTTTGAAGCTTTTAGTATACATCTTGCAATTTTTAAGACGAAATAGAATGTCTAGATAATGTGTTATAATGTATTACTTTTAGGACTTAAATTTTCTTCTTGGTTTTTTTTTACAACGATAAGGGTCAAAGATGATTGATTAAAAGTTTTTCAATGCTAAAACTGCAATTTTCAATGAGTTGGAAAGTAAGACTTTACTTATTTTAATAGGGCTGCAGCCCTATAAAAATATTTTCCTTCTTATGACTAGGATGTTGGGAGTTTCTATTGAAGGAAGGGCAAGGGGATGGGATCCTTGGGGCATGGCATTTTGTAGTGTTCTTCCACGTTGTCACCCACAAGAGGAGCCAAAATACAACCACTCTTGAAGAGACCTTCTGCCATCCTCTCCTTCTTCTTCCTCCTCTTCCTCTTTGTTTTTTTTTTTAATAAAAAATAAAAATAAATAAATAAATAAAAATTGGGGGAAATGTTAATAGTAAATTTTCATTGATAAAAGAGGCAACCTCCAAATTACAAAATAGAGAAAGACATAGAGACATAATCATCTACTTCCAAAACAAGACCGACCAACATTGCCCAACAAAACATAAAGCCACTTGGGCCCAGCCCTCTACAGTTCCTTTGCTTAGCCCTGACTACTCACCACCACTCCTAAGGATCATCCCTTTCACAATTAGCACACTAGCCAGGGTTTGGGACTTTCAAACACTCCCACGCCATCCTCATACAAAGCTAGAAAAAAGTTCAAAGACTAGTGGAGAGAATACATTTGGTGGACAGGCGAATTCATTTGGTCGACATAGACGTGGCAATAGACCCGACCAAACTTGGGACCGATGTATAGACCCGATCGGAACCGGCCACTAACCGGTTCCCATCTAACCAGGCGGTTAGCGATTAAATCGGGTGATTTTGCGAACAATGATTCAAACACTATTTAAGTTGAGGTCTGGTCTACCCGGACCCGACCCATACCCAATCCGTACTTGTAAACCGTTGGAGATAAAATACTTTACTTTAAGTGATATTCGTTCGGGTATACTAAATATCGCATACAATAAGAACTTGTGGTCAACTTTAACTATTAAACGACAAATCATATGACTTGAAATCTAAAGGTAGCAATGGACCCTACCAGACCTAGGACCTGACGGGTGAACAACCAAATGGGTACGGGTATGGGTCCAATTTTTTGACCCGAGTCTGGGTTCAAAACCTGGACCTGGATCTGGTGGACCCAACCCATACTCGACCCATTGCCACCCCTAGGTGACATAAGGGCCTACACAAGCAAGATGGTCGCTTG